GTATTTTGGGGAGTAACACACTGCATAAGATCAACTCCTTTTGAAAAAGAGAGCTGCAGTGGAAGGGTTGCAATACCTAGTAACCCAGGTGTTATCATTATCATCCTCAAGTTAACACAAACATGTGCACTAGGATATTTTGAGAAGTATCACACTTCGTAGGACTAACTCCTTTCACAAAAGGAAGTTGCAGTGAGAGGGTTTAATACTCAACAAGCCAGGTAATATCATTAATATTCTCGAGTAAATACAAACATGTGTAGTGGGTGTTTTGACGAGTAACACACTCCATAAGATCAACTGCTTTCACAAAAGGCAGCTGCAGTGGAAAGGTTGCATTACCTAGCAGCCCAGGTTTATCATCATCCTCAAGTAAACACAAACATGTGCACTGGGATGTTTTGCAACACCCAGGTGTTGTCATTATCATCCTCGAGTAAACGCAAACATGTGCACTGGGATATTTTGAGAAGAATCGTACTTACAACAACCCAGGTATTATCATTATTATTTTTGAGTAAATACAGACATGTGTACTAGTTGTTTCGAGAAGTAACACAGTCTATAAGATCAACTCCTATCACAAAAGACAGCTGCAGTGGAAGTGTTGCAACACCTAGTAACCCAGTTGTTATCATCATCATCCTCAAGTAAACATAAATATGTGCATTGGGGTTATTTTGAGAAGTATCATACTTCATAAGATTAACTCCTTTTGCAAAAGGGAGCTGCCGTGACAGGGCGCAATACCCAACAACCCAGGTATTATCATTATTATTCTCAAGTAAATGCAGACATGTGTACTGGGTGTTTTGAGAAGTAACACACTTCAAACGGTCAACTCCTTCTACAAAAGAGATCTGCAGTGGAAGGGTTGCAATATACAAAAACCCAAGAAGTATCATTAGCATCCCCAAATAAATACAAATTTCGCACTAGGATATTTTGAGAAGTATCACATTCCTCAAGATTACCTCCTTTCAATAAAGGAAGCTGCAGTGAAACAACCCAGGTGCTATCATTATCCTTGTCAAGTAAAAACAAACAAGGGTACTGGGTGTTTCGAGAAGTAACATACTTCAAAAGGTCAATTCCTTACATAAAAGACAGTTGCAGGGTAAGGATTGCAACACCTAGCAACCCAGGTCTTATTTATCATCCTCAAGTACACAACACAAACATGTGCACTAGGATATTATGAGAAGTATCATACTTGACAATCACAACACCACACCGCATAAGATCAACTCCTTTCACGAAAGAGCTGCAGTGGGAGTGTTGCAATACTTAGCAATCCAGGTCTTACCATCATCATCCTAAAGTCAACACGAACATGTGCATTGGAATGTTTTGAGAACTATCACAATTTACAAGATCAACTCTTTTTATAAAAGGAAGCTGCAGTGAGAGGGTGCAATACCCAAAAACACACTCCATAAGATCAACTCCTTTCACAAAAGTCAGCTTCAGTAACCCAGGTGTTATCATTACCACATCCACAAGTAAACACAAACATGTGTACTGGGATATTATGAGAAGTATCATACTTGACAATCACAACATCAACTTCTTTCACGAAAGGGAGCTGCGGTGGAAGTGTTGCAATATTTAGCAACCTAGGTCTTACCATTATCATCCTAAAGTAAACACGAACATGTGCACTGGGATATTTCGAGATGTATCACACTTCATAGGATCAGATCCGTTTATAAAAGGGAACTGCAGTGAGAAGGTGCAAAACCCAACAAACCCGGTATTATCATTATCATTTATGCGTAAATACAGACATGTGTACTGGATGTTTTGAAAAGTATCATACTCAATAAGATCAACTTCTTTCACAAAAGACAGCTTCAGTGGAAAGGTTGCAACACCTAATAACCAAGGTGTTATCATTATCATCCTCAAGTAAACACAAACATGTGTACTGGGTGTTACACAAAAGGTCAACTCTTTTCACAAAAGCCAGCTACAGTGGAAGGGTTGCAACACCTAGCAACCCAGGTCTTATCATCCTCAAATAAACACAAACATAAGCACTGGGATATTTTTAGAAGTATCATACTTCATAAGATTAATTTCTTTTGCAAAAGGGAGCTGCAGTGAAAGGCTGCAATACCCAACAACCCAGGTTTTATCATAATCATTCTCAAGTAAACACAGACATGTGTACTGGGTGTTTTGAGAAGTAGGTAATACACTTTAAAAGGTCAACTCCTTTTACAAGAGAGAGCTGCAGTAGGAGGGCTGCAACACCTAGCAACCCAGGTCTTATCATTATCAAGTTAACACAATCATTATCATCCTAAAGTAAACACGAACATGTGCACTGGGATGTTTTGAGAAGTATCACAATTCACAAGCTCACCTCCTTTTACAAAAAAAAGCTGCAGTGAAAGGTTGCAATACCCAACAACCCAGGTAGTATCACTATCCTTGTCAAGTAAACACAGACATGCGTACTGGGTGTTTTGTGAAGTAACACATTTTAAAAGGTCAACTTCTTTCGCAAAAGAGAGCTGCATTGGAAGGGTTGCAACACCTAGCAACTCAGATCTTATCATCCTCAACTAAACACAAACATGTGCTCTGGGATATTTTGCGAAGTATCACACTTTACAAAATTAGCTCCTTTTACAAAAGAGAGCTCCAGTGAAACGGAGTAAAGTAAACACAAATATGTGCACTGGGATATCTTGAGAAGTATCAAACTTCACCAGATTAACTCTTTATTATCATGAACATCTTTAAGTAAAGACAAACATGTGTGCTGGGATGTTTCGAAAAGTAACCATATATTTAAGATAAACTTCTTAGTGTTGCAGCGGAAAGATTGAAATACCCAAAAGACTGGTAAGAGCACGAATCCGCGTCAAACACAAAAATTGCGATACAATATTTATAAAGAAAGTATGCGTTTTATCTGCCGGTAACCAAAAATACTTATTTTTCTTATTGGAGCCAGCGATAAATTTATTCTGAATAAAAGTTTTCATTGGTCCTTCTGCGTTTGAATGGTCCTTAGATGATCACGTGAGACCATGAAATGTTCACTTGGATATTTTAAAAAGTAACACACTTTACAAGATTAATTCCTTTTACAAAAGAGATCTGCAGTGGAAGGGTTGAACTATCTAGCAACCCAGGTCCGATCACTATCATCCCAAAGTAAACACGAGCATGTGCGAATAGAAGTATCATACTTTATTAGATTAACTTTTTTACAAAAGAGAGCTTCAATTCCCAACAACCCAGGTATTATTATTATCCTTGTCAAGTAAACACAGACATGCGTCCTGGATTTTTGAAAAGTAACACACTTCAAAAGGTCAACTTCTTTTGCAAAAGAGAGCTGCAGTGGAAGGGTTACAACTTGCAACACCCTGCAACCCAGGTCTTATCATCCTCAAGTTAACACAAACATCAGTGCACTGAGATATTTTCAGAAGTATCACACTCTACAAAATTAGCTCCTTTTTCAAAAGGGAGCTTTAGTGGAAGGGTTTCAATATAGCAACCCAGGTCTTATCTAATATAGCAAGCCAGATCTTATCTTTATCATTCTCAAGTTAACACAAACATGTGCACTGGGATATCTTGAGAAGTATCACACTTCACAAGATTAACTACTTCTAATATCATTTGGCTATGTTTCGAGAAGTAACCATATATTTCGATGAACTTCTTAGTGTTGCAGCGGAAAGATTGAAATACCCAAAAAACTGGTAATATCACGAATCCGCCTCAAACAAAAAAATTGCGATGCAATATTTATAAAGGAAGAGCATATAAAAATATGCGTTTTATCTGCCGGTAACCAAAAATACTTATTTTTCTTATCGGAGCCAGCGATAAATTTGATGATATATTTTTCAAATGCAATTTGAAACTTTATTTAGAAAACCTTGTTTGGGTGGAAGTGTTGAAATACTTAAAAAACTGGTAGTATCATAAATCCGCCTCAAACACATACAAACTACTATGCATTATTCATAAAGAGTGAACATATAAGAATACGCGTCTCATCTGCCAGTAACCAAGAATACTTATTTTTCTCCTTAGAGCCAGCAATAAATGACGTATTATGCAAATGCTGTTCAATACAAAACTGAAAAGCATCCCTCTAGAATGGTCATACATCTTCCCCTCAATGTAGGAAATATCAATAATGGTAACTATAATTTCTGGAAGAAAAAAAATAATTTTGAAATTCTTATGAAAGTATCAATTTACTAACAAAAGATTGAAATAAAATATGGAAATATTGTATGGAAAATCGCAATAGGGAAAAAGCTACATTGATATAACATTGAAATATCAGCGGAAAGCGATAAAGTATTACAGAAAGTAATGAATATTTATTGCAATTTATAAGACACACCCTATAAGTGCCTTGTGCCCTGTCATGTTTTTTTTGAGACTGATGGAGAATAATGAGGATGTGGAAAGGTACCTGGCTCTTCTAGATTTTTACAATTTGAATTTAACTAACGCAACCAGCATGGGTGCGCCATAAACATAATATAGGGATAAGGATGCAATCTTCCAGAAAGCACACATAGAAATATTCCCTTCATGATCATATCTAGTTACACAATATTTGAAGAATAAAAAAATAGTTCAATTAATATATTTATCAACACTTGGGAAACAAGTGACTTCAGCCGTTATTCAACTTTTCACTATCCTTGGTCATACTTACATCATCAAATTACATAGGTACACTAAAAAAAAAAGCGAAATGGGTCCATGCTTATTGAAATAAAACAAATTCAAAACAAAATCAAGTAAAAAATGTATCAAAAATATATGTAAGTTTTTATATTTTTCTAGGTATTATTCTACGCCGCTATGCACAACGCTTTTTTAGACTTGAAAATTCGAAAAACAATCAAATATTATGAGGAAGCGGGGCTTAACTCGCTTCCGTAGACCTCACGCCCCTGCCGCATTAGGTACTCTGATTTCTAAACATACGGATGAATCCGTTATGGTCCTCTTTAACCTGCTAAAACTTCTGCCAATACCGTTGGGAACACTCTTGAAGTTTCTGGTGGTCTTGAAATGACGAGGAGAGATTTCGGGAGATTTTTCACGTAGTCTTTGAACCTTAAAAAAAAAAAAAATATGTTTGAAATTAAATAACACGTGATATGAAATAATCAACAGTGGAATGTAAAATCCATTCCCGGAAACAGATTAGCGGTCGTTTCTGTAATTATTGAACTTTATATAGTGCCTGTTCGAATACTATGTGCAATTTTAGTTGCAGTTGAAAAAAAAAATAAAAATTGGTCAGATCATATATTTTTTTGTCAAGTAAGTAATAAGAAAGCAATTCAATTTCACAGGATTCTTTTCAAAATGTTTGTAAGGAGTGTATCGAACTTATATCAAGTCAACCTCACAAAGATACAAAAATTGTCAAATCTGCTTTACTAATATTTTGTCACAGCTATGCAGATCTCTTTCTGGGACATAGTTTTTTTTTTTATGAACAATAAAAGAACCAATATTCTGAAATCATGGGAGATTTTAGGCTAAAATCGGTCAAAACCCAAATGAGTCAGTCCCAAATATAGATAATTTTGGTCGTGATAAGAGGAAAGACGAAGAGGGAATTTTAAAAACTATTGTAGAAAAGAAAATTTATTGGAATTCTTCTAAAAACAGTGCTAAGGAGATGGACTTGAAGAAATCGTGACCAAAAAACCAAATTGAGTAAGTATGTTGTAACCACTGATCTCAAAACTAAAATGGATAAACAAAGAACGCTTTTAATAATGCTGCTAATTTACCAGGTCAGAACTTAAACAACTAGGACAGCTGTGAGCGTGCGCAGTAGATACATGTACTGTGCGTGCGCAAAATTTTGGCAATGAAAGTGAAGGATATTTCAAAATTTAGAACAGTTATTCGAAAGAATAGACACTGCGCACGCGTTAGGCTGTTCCGTTAAACAACTGTTCGAACAATTTAAGCCAGTCCAGCCGTACGATTGATTGTTTATCCATTTTAGTTTTGAGGTCATTGGTTCTAACCAAACATGGAGGCACAGAAGGAAAATTGCAGCAAGATCCGGTCACATGCCAACAATCTATTGAAATTGGGTGACAGAATGGGCCTCGAAAACCCTATAAAGAAAGGGAATTGAAGAAGAAATAACAAAATGTGCAAATATGTATGTAAAATTTACTCTGGACAATGTCTGGAGTCTGTGGAGTGATGGAAATGGGTGAATGTCAAATTTGTAAGGGTGAAACTCTTCCATCTGGCCACAAATGTGTCATATGCAAAATGCCAATACATCTCTCGAAGGCCTGTTCAATTACAAACGAGAAAACAGAATGGTGAAAAAAGAATTTGCAAATTGTGTGTTATGATAGGACACGTTAATTTGAATTATGGATCAAAAGAACATGAGAATTGGTGAGGCCAGAACAGTGATGTATCTCGTGTATATTTTGAAAAAGAAAACCAGATACCTTGGAGAGCGTCATGGCTTTGTAAGTGAGCGCATAGAATGGCAAGGAAATGAAACCAAGCCTGCATTGCTGAAAAATAAGAATTACCCCTACCTAAAATCGGTGCTAATCGAAGGACAGAGGGTTGTGTGACTTTGACGTGTGCTTTTGACAGCCTTTACCTCGTCATACTTGCTGCTTTGTATGTGAGGCCTGGCTTTAGTAAATTTATGTCAAATCTAAAATCCAAATTGTAAACCTAATGCTGGGCGTTAAGGTTACTTAGGGTTTTACAAAAATTAAAATATTCAGCGGTACACGCACTTCATAATAAGTAAAAAAACCTATTTCATTTAAAAATCAGAAACCTTTAAAAGAAAAATTCAATGTACGAGATGACCTTGGAATTGGTGGACAATAGCTTGAAAACCAGCTAACTAAAATTCTTTTCCATCTGATGGATTTCAAAAAAAATTATTCAGCTTGAATAAATCCATTTTAATGAATTGCGAGACTGGGTTTGGCGAAATTGTTTCGACAATTTTCAAAAAAGATCCAACTTGAAAGCCATTGTGACACCTGCCGTGATGATTGCGAAATCATTTGAGACTTTGTCTAGAGCCGTGTTTTTCAATCTATTTGAATACGCGACCCCTTCACAGGCTGAAAAATTCTGGCGACCCCCTTGGGCCATAGAGAGACAAAAAGTTAGAAATTTAAAAGACTTTGTGATTTTCTCTATTTTGGTACCTATATTCATTATTAAGACACAAGACCTACACTCTGCAAGAAGCCGTGTGTGGTCAATCTCTCTGCAATACAATATATTTGAGTGTTTTCCATATGTTCAGAAGACTGTTGAAGATAATGCAACAGACCAATAGCTTGTGGTAAGGGCTTACATGCCTTGCATGATACAGTTTGCAATTGTAATGTCAGCAATAAGTGACAAACTCCTATCACCTTCATCTATTTGATCCTAAGTCTACGAGCTCCCCGATTAATGTGTCGAACTTCAGGAAATGGTCTTCCAACTTCTCATTCTCACCTGACTCCAGTCCAAGTTACACCTTGAGAACCTCAATATCACCCGATACTTCTCAATATCACGCAATAAAGTACATATTCGCAGAATTGCGATGGCTAGTCGCCAACAACCCGCTATGCAAAGATGTTACAATTGCAATACCGAGATATAGACTTCAATTAGAAAATTATGTAAATATTAACATTTCAAAAATAACATCACGATTTGACAAATTTCTGAAAAATAGACAAGCCCATCCTTCTCACTGAATTTGTTTTTCAATTTTAGTGTAGAACATTGCTTTTTTCCTTTTGCCTCCGACCCCCCGAGTAAGGCTTCGCAACCCCCCTAAGGGTCGCGACCCACAGATTTACTCGGGTGTAGATTAAGTTTTATATATTTTATAAACTTATACTTTTTTGTTGTTGCTTTGTCATATATTTCATTTTGAATTCTGGATGAAGATCACCACAAAAATTTTATTGAAAAAATGAGGGAGCACGGAACCGAACTTCCGCCTTAACAAACGCCTGCTCCAATGGCAAGCAGCAGTGGAACAAATGACAACGTCCATTCAGTCATTCAGAGGATTATTATTTAAAAAAAAAAAGGCAAATTCCCTTAGAGCTGGAGATACTGCTCCAACTAGAAAAGCCTTAGCTGGAGAACTTTTAGATAATAGCTTTGTTTTAGTTCGAAAAAGGACGGTACAAAAGAATCGCACAGTTTATTATTGAAATTTGTGATAGCCAAGCCGTTGTCATTTTGTTGATTGATGAACTGTGCGATTGTTTTGAACCATTCTAGAACCGTCCGTTTGTCTAACCAAAACAAAGCTATATTATGGAATCTAAAGTGTTAAAGACATGACCCTGAAATCAAAAGGGAAATGTGCTACTCTAATACAGGACGCATTATCAAATATTCATAACCAGCCAGTTTAAGCTAATTGCTTCTCTGATGGAAAACATATTTTCTTTCTATCAGCTATAGACACAGGACGTAACGAAAAAACAGCTCATTATTGTAAAGAAAAATATTTCAGAAATCACCACAAACCAAATGCTCTTTTGTCGGCAGTAAAAGGATCAAGGAAGCCCCAGTTACTAGAGGATACAAGATGGAATAGTTAAGTTGACTGTATTGATATATTTTAAAAAAAAAAAAACAGGCCTTTTTATATACAAATTCTGATAGAAGATGTGCAAAATAACATATATGCCAATGTTAATCATATAATTAACAATGTAGCACTTTTTGTTGAGGCTCTAAACACACACACACAGTTAACTTCCACATAGAGCCGAAATGTTGGATTTATTACAAAAAGACTGTACTAATATTGCTGACGCTACATTTGCGTTTATAAAACCAAAGAATGAAGAATCCATCAATATAGAAGTCTAATTGAAAAAAGGTACAAGGAATGTATTACGGCAGCCCATAAATTAGCATACTGGCTTTATCACAAATATATGGGCCAAGATTTGAACGAGCATGACTGAAGAGGCTAGAGAATGGGCCGCAGAAAATGATAAATCCTTCCTTCCTATAATTCCACAATGATTTTGTCTTGTCTGGTTTCAACCGTTCTGCCCAAAACTTGTCAGCCCTGATAATTATTGCATAAAAAAAAAAAAACATTTGAGCCACAATAAAAGACTTACACCGTAGATGAAGTGTTTTTTATATTTTTTTGGAAAAGTTGCACCTTTATATGGTATCTTTTTTGTTGCAAAGTTTTGATATTCGGATAGGTATTCTTTATGTTTCAATGTTCGATTCTGAATGATTTTAGCGTTACCTGAACAGCATTTTTATTTTGGTATCTCCAACATATTTCCTTGAGAAACAGAATCGGAAAGGCCCTTTCCAAATATGAAGCTATATATAAATGATTATCAATCCACATATGTATTTGTTTCAAATAAATATGTAGGTACTTACTGGCTCTGTGGAATTGTCATTTAATTCTGGGGTCAAGTTGTACCGGGTGATTGTCTATATTTTGCACCCACACCTATCTCACCTGTAACCTGTTTGAAGAGATACACAGAAATGTCAAATGTGAAAGTTGTAGGTAATATCAGAAAGTTTTCAATGATGTTGGTTAGGTTGGATATGTCACAAAAGTGTGGTGAAGCAGTTATACTTTTTTTAAATGGAAAACCCCATATATTATTGTCCCATTGGATTAGCCTTTCAAACGTGATTTCAAATATACTAGGTTTTTTAGGTTTATTCCTAATGGTCCAGGAGAAAATTGGACAAAATGGATTGGAATAATTGCATTTTTATTGAGGAAGGTGAAGTATAGAGGCCACCAGAAAAATATAAAGGTATAGTATCCGCCAAAGATATTCGAGATTCGTACAAAAAATTATGTTTATATTATCAGCCGGCCTGCATTTAGTCAGGGAGCACGTATCAGGTGCCGCTTAAGTACAAAATTATATTGGTTCGAAATTATTCGGTTTAAATTGTTGTAAATAATGTTTAAAATTATTTTTCAATTTTCTCAAAAGATCTTTCAAAGATTTAATGCAAGAAATTAAGTACTTGATCGAATCCGGAACATAGCTCTTGGACTAAATTTATTCTTAACCCTTATCTGTAGA